AGGGTTTTATCTGTGCAATACAAGATCAGGTTATTAAGACCAACAATTATCAGAGATACATCATAAGAGATTGCACCGTAGACATATGTCGAGCTTGTTACCATCCCAGTGAATCACTAATGCATGTCATCTCCGGTTTTTCTGCAAATTCTAACTCTGAGTACTTGCACCACCACAATATCATGCTTATTCATGCAAATATTGAAAGTTATAATGGACCAGGCACCTTGTCCATGTGTTTATTTCCCTTTCCACTTCTTTATTGTTGCCTTTTAGTCACCCCTGCCAAGGGATTACTCTGGTCTGGTCTAGTTGGGTTTTATCTATTTATTTAATTATATTTTATTTCACTAAGTTTCGTAAGTATATATATATATATATATATATATATATATATATATATATATATATATATATATATATATATATATATATAAGAGCATTTCTCTGTAAACTGGAGAACTCGTTCTAAGAAAGTGGTCTCGGCAACTTTTTTGCTTATATATTTAAAAAATCTTATTCAGGGAATAAATATCCACCTATTAAATTACTGACCGCAAATAAACCAATAATATTTCCATTACTTTACAAAATATTGAGTATTTTCTGAAAAATCTATACAGGGGCCTGTTGCCTATGTTAGGGGACTCTGTATTTAAATGGAAAATACTAATTCAGTACCAAAATTAATTCGTTTTTATTTTCATAAAACTTTGGCTTATAGGAATTAAGTAATGAAACAATAAAGAAACAAAAAAACTCAAAAGGTTTTTTTATAATATTCTACTAATACTTAAATTCTAACACTGAAATCTTATTATGTGATTAGTAGTCAATTAAAATGACATACATTGAAAAAACATTTAAGTCTTACACTAGAGAATCAGTGTCATTATAATTAAAGATAATTAGTAATATCCCATATTTAAGTAATAATTATATTACTTAAATATGGGACAAATAGGTAAAGAAAATAGTATCAAGAATTTGGTGTCATTATTTTTCAAAAACATATACATTTAAATGAAATTTGTAGAATATTCTATTCCCTTTTAAAACTATATTTGGACTAGGGAGTTTATGTATCACCTTGTAACATCTGCCACCTTGCCTTGATCATATCTTAATGTCTGGCCATTATTATCACAGAGCTTTGGTAATGTGACACGAATTTTGCTATTTTCTTCATCAATCTTGTCAGTAATGCTCTCATAGTAGCAGAACTAGGTTCAACTTCATTCTCAGATTCTGAATCAGCAAACACATCTTCCACAATAAGTTTTGGCTTGTTTTCATAATTTTTTTTACTTTTATTAAAGTGCAGACAACAATCACAAAAAAGCGGCGATTTTATACCCAAAGGATTATAAAATTTTCCAGTGACTTGATGCACTTTGATGGTGCCAACAAAATTTTTCACCTTGGTTATTTCTTATTCGATATCAGCCCTAATTTCTTTAATCACATCATCTTGTATTATGCTTAAACTAATGACAGGACATATCTGTTCAATGGTTTCTACAAACTTCACTAGATTTCCAATGCCCCCAGCAGCAACTATGCCATTTGTGGGTAGCTTCAACGCCGTCTGGTGCACCTTTACAGTGGCCACTCTCCGCATAGTTGTAGGGAAACTTTTGTATATGTGGATGTTGTTTTAGTATTTTTGTCGCCATAATGTAAAACATGGTTCTGTTTCTATATTGAGTCATTGGTGCATTGCTCAAGAAATGCAGATTTTTAAGTTGAGGTAGCAAAGCATTAAAATTAGATTCAGATGAGTCCAAATAGCAGCTGGAGAATGAGAAATATCCGTAGAGATTGTGCCATGTGTAGTTTCTAGACTAATCAGTGTACACGACCCGCCATAATGGAAAGCAAGGAAGGAAGGAAGAGTGTATCTTTAGGCTATGTATTTGCTCTCTTCCAAATAGCAGCTAGAGAATGAGAAATATTCTTAGAGATTGTGCCGTGTGTATAGACTAATCAGTGTACCCGACCTGCCATAATGGAAAGCAAGGAAGGAAGGAAGGAAGAGTGTATCTTTAGGCTAAGTATTTGCTCTCTTCTTGATTCGCAATAGGAGTTTCTTGTATTTTCTTTGAAAAATCTTCAATCTTTTGAAAAATACTCAAAACACACATTTACCAACATATATATAGGGAATATTTTTGTATTATAACAATTAAAGTCCCTAAGATTTGAATATTATACATTAAAAATAAATAAAAATAATCCTTACTAGAGGACTGTTGCCTGTCAGGTTACGTCAGTTCCACGGACGGGCGCTAATGACGACAACTGTGCAAACTTCAGATCATTTGCATTTTGTTACAAGCAGCAATGCAATTGTTTAACCTTTAGGTTATGTGACGCGTTATTTAAAATATAGACAGGGGAACTGTTCACAAAATGTGGCGACAAACTTTTATTTACTTTTTTAGTATTATAGAATAATATTTTAAAAAAATAAGCAGATCTCATTAACAGTGATATAATATTGTTTGAATAATAATCAAACGATTTGATTGAAACAGAAACAGAAACTTTTTTATTCAATATAGATTATAAATAATACTTATTGAAAGTCATTCTTTTGTTTGATTACCACTGGTTCGGAAAAAACCTCTGCCCTGGGAAGAACCAGCAAGAAACCTAGCGGGACTTTTTTTTTTAAATAACAGCTTACAATCATGATGTTACACAAATTAACAACACAACAAATTAGAAATAGCTTGGTAGCGATCACCTCATTTCCAGGGGTTATTATCATCCATAAATTCCTTAATATTATAGTAACCCTTTTTATACAAACTTAGTTTAATAAAGTTTTTGAACTTTGAACAGGTCAAACTTTGTATATTTTCTGGAATTTTGTTGTAAAAGCGTATACATCGCCCCAAGAATGAATTACTGACTCGATGGAGTCGAGTAACTGGTACTACTAGCTTGTGTCGGTTCCTAGTATTTACAGAATGAATATCACTTATTTTTGTAAAACTACTTTTATTTTTGTGTACGTACATTACATTTTCATAAATGTATTGAGAGGCCAAAGTTAATATATTAATTTCCTTAAATTTTTGTCGCAGCGACTCTTTAGGCTTTAAATCATAAATTGCTCTTATGGCCCTCTTCTGCAAAACAAATATAATTTCAGTGTCAGCTGCGTGTCCCCATAGCAAAATACCATACGACATTATGCTATGGAAGTAGCTGAAGTAAATTTCTAGTAAAAGATTGATTCCTATAGTTACTGTCTAAATTAATTTAATCTGAAGTGACTATACCGCTTTGGTGACACATCAGGTGACTGTTTTTTTGAGTAGTTTAAAAACTTTTTTGATACAATAAAGTTTATATTAATGGATATTGTATGCTGAGTAGAGGTAGATAAGGTTATTATCTGTTAAAGTTATCTACGAAATATATAATAATCTGCACTTTTTATATAATATTGACCTAAGACAATGAGTTACACAATTTACAGAGAGATGCCCATTAATTCTATTGTTTTTTCTATATTTTTCGTATATTAAGAATAAGTATATATCCCCCTTAAATAAGGTACATTAAGCTAAGGAAATCAGAAAATACTTTAAGCACATTTCAAGTAAGAATAAACTAAGTTTCTTAAAAAATTTAAATATCCAACAGAACTAAGTAATAATAGGACAAATGAAAAAAGGAAATTCAGAAACATAAATCTATTTACATTTATGTTAATTTATATATAGTTAATATATATATATATTTTTTTAAACATTTATGTTATTAAAATTTAGAGCATAAATTGAAGTTTTTAAAAATATGGTAAAACCCTTCAATTAAGTTGATTGATAGAAAGCATGGATTAATAAGAACCATAACTTATGTCCTGTTTTATTACCGCCACACATCTGTTTACGATTAAGAATACACCCATTGTGCTATACAACTATTGGGGAATAATAATAACAATAAAAAAATTGTGTTTGCATACAATACCTTTATTATCTTTATAATAAAGGAATTGTGTACAATCTATACAAATAAACAAAATTGAAGTGTGTCTGTTTGTAATGTCGAAATGACAGCTTTTTACTATATGCATATGAAAGCATATATGATACTTATACAATTTTTAAAATTTTTGTCTATCTGTCTTTCTATCTGTCTGTTTGTTCAGGCAAATCTCCGAAACGGTTAGACCAATTTTGACCGGACTTTCACTAGTAGATAGCTGATGTTATAAGAAGTAACTTAAGCTACTTTTATTTTAAAAAAGAATTAGGGTTAGGCACAAAAAAATTAAAACCCATGAAATCCAATTGTAATAAATTACATGCAGGCGAAATTACGGGGAACAGCTAGTATATAATAAAATAGGTAGTAAAGTTAATTAATAGAATGAGCCATTATTTGTGGAAATCCATTATATTAAAGTTGGTAAAACTTACCTTACATACATCCACTCGATAAAATAAAGTGTCTAACCTAGTTTGAAGAGCACCTCCCTCTCTCCCTCAATTATGTGCACTATCCCCATCACCACTAATCCCAGCACCACTACTCCCAACACCACTACACTAGGAAAGACACACCATTGACGACAATACAACATGTGTTTCACCTCTACATGAGGCATCTTCAGGTGATGGCTGAGCCACCGCAGTCTACATCACTGCTGGGATTAATGGTGACTGGGATAGTGCACGCAATTGAGGGAGAGCGTGAGGTGCTCTTCAAACTAGGTAAGACACATTATTTTATTTTATCGAGCAGATGTACGCAAGGTAATTTTTACCAACTAAAAACAGATAATAGTATTTTTTTTTAAATTGAATATTATATTTTTACCTTTAACTTATGTTCTCCAGAGGCATAATACCATAAAAAGGTCAATGACTATAGAGTACCATGTGTCGTAATAAAGTTAAACAATAACAACAACTAGAGAACTATGACTTGATTTTGTTGTGACATTATTTCATAACCTAGCATCAGGATAGTAAACTTACCAGGTAAACAGAAAATGGCAGGCACAGTAAGAACAACCAGATGTACAAGTGCACAGTGTTGCAGAACAAATTCTGGTGGGGATCATAAAACCAGCCACCTGTCAATGATGCCCAAACACCCTGACGCAGAATTTCCAAAGTCTGCGAGCCCATCGTAAACGTTATGTCCACATTTCTTCATTTAAATCACTCACCACTTACACAACAGTCAATTACAGCACAAATACATATTTTACATCAGCTTACATCCAAATGCAAATTTCTCGTCTTTCCTGCCATTTTGAAAGAAAATGCACATACGAAAACAGTCTGTAATGACATCGGCTGCCTAATATGTATTCATATTCTCCATAATATAATAAGATAATTCAAAACACCTTTTAATTAAACAATTATAGCAAATAACACATAATACTAAGTATTTATTTTTATGCACTATTTCTATTCTTCAAAACCATAAATTTGCGAACAACAGCAACACTCCTCACTTTGAAGTTTCTTTGACAATTAAATTCTGACATTAGGGCTTGCTGTAAGGCCGAATAAACCGGAGAACCTTTATAAACGGTTTTTAAGAATCTCCAGAGATTTATCAAATTATATTCATTTCTATGCGTATGTTCAGCTGTGGACTTATGAAGGGCTGTAATGATGATGTTGATGACGTCTCAATCATACTTTATTTTAAGCCCAACTTATTCGTTGCGCACCTGACCGGTGCCTGCTTAGCGGCTATATATTTTCAACTAACTGACCATAACTGACTGTTAGTTGAATACTCTAAGGCGATATATTATCATTATATTGTAAATTATAACTACCTATTCATTTTGCCGTGTAGTGGCGGTCAAGAATATCCACTACCCCATATTCTCCCGTGGGTGTCGTAAAAGGCGACAAAGGGAAACAGACAGGAGATGGGCAGCAGCATCTTCCTGATAATAGCCAAAATTACAATAAAAAAACTGCGGTTGCCAATCCGCTCGCCAAGCGTGGCAACTATGGTAAATACCCCCCAATGACTAAAGCAACAAACAGACGGCCCCCAGTCCCCGGCGGTCCCGCTATTTCTGGCTACGGTGGCGACCATGGTAACGGCGGGGCCGTGTTAAGAATCTCCGGTGGAGGTTCGGTTGCCACCTTAGACGACTCGACCTGGCAACGTACAACGAACGCACCCTGAGGACTGACGAGAAGATCGTGGAGCTGGAAGAAGAGATAGACAAGTTGCGCTGGCATATTATAGGATTATCCGAAGTCCGAAGAGAGGGGGAGGACACGGTAATCCTCGAATCCGGCAACTTGCTCTATCACCGGGAGGGTGACCATCTGTCCCAAGGAGGTGTCGGATTTATCGTCCACAAGTCTCTCGTTAACAACGTTGTAAAGATCGGGAGTATGTCGACGAGGGTTGCGTACCTTATACTCAGAATCACTAAACGGTATTCGCTGAAGGTCATACAGGTTTACGCACCAACCTCGGCACACCCCGATGAGGAGGTGGAGGAAATGTATGAGCATATCTCTAGAGCCATGCATTCCTCCAAAACCCAATATACGGTGTTAATGTGAGACTTCAATGCAAAACTAGTAGGGAAATTTGGAATAGGGCAACGGAACCCAAGGGGCCAGCAGCTGGCCGACTTCATGGAGAAAGAGGGACTCTTTATGATGAACTCTTTCTTCCAGAAGCGGCCCCACAGGAAGTGGACCTGGTCGAGCCCCGACGGTTCGACAAAAAATGAGATTGACTTCATTATGACGACCAGACGACAACTGTTCAGTGATGTCTCCGTGATCGCGAGGGTGAAAACTGGTAGCGATCACCGAATGGTTAGAGGCACACTGAACCTAAACGTTAAGTTGGAGAGGTCTCGTCTAATGAAGTCAACGCTCCGTCCCCCTCGTGCTCTGTTCCAAAGTCCCGAAACCTTTCAGCTCGAGTTACAAAACCGTTTTCAGTGCCTAGAAGACTGCAATGAAGTGGACGATATGAATGACAAGCTCGTGGAAACTGTCCATGCGGTCGGAGCTAAGTTCTGCAAGACCCGCCGCAGAAGAACACAAAAACTCTCCGATCACACTCTTAATCTCATGGCTGTTAGACGGGAGATGAAGCTACATTCTTCAACAGACTTGACAGCATACAGGCATCTGAACAGACAGATCTCCAAATGCATGCGGCGGGACTTACGCAACTTCAATACAGCTCGTATTGAAGAAGCGATCGAGCGGAACCAAGGCTCCAAAGTCTTTGCCAGAGATCTGTCTGCCAGAAAGAGCCAACTGTCAAAGCTGAAAACAGAATGTGGCAAGTGGAGCCACACGCAAGTGTGAGTAACGATCCAAGAGCGAGTCTCATCCGACACTATTCCGAAGATATCCCGGACGTCAGTCTGAGCGAGATTAGAATGGCTCTCCAGCACCTTAAAAACGGTAAGGCCCCAGGCGAGGATGGAATTACAGCGAAGTTTCTGAAAGCGGGTGGAAGAGCGGTACTTGAAGTCCTTCAGAAGCTCTTTAATTCCGTCCTCCATGGTGGCATTACACCGGAGGCGTGAAGCAGAAGTGCGGTGGTCTTGTTCTTCAAGAAAGGTGACAACGCTCTCTTGAAGAACTACAGACCGATTTCCCTTCGGAGCCGCGTCTACGTGCCGTTTTCGAGAGTCATTACGAATCGTCTCGCGCGCAGACTTGACAACTTCCAGCCTCCCGAACAAGCCGGTTTCCGAAAGGGCTTTAACACCATAGACCACATACATACCCTTCGGCAAGTTATACAGAACTCCGAAGAGTACAATTTGCCACTATGTCTGGCGTGTGTGGACTATGAGAAAGCCTTTGATTCCGTCGAAATTTGGGCGGTACTGCAATCCCTTCAGCGGTGCCAAGTTGACTGTCGGTATATCGAGGTGTTGAAGTGCTTGTACAGTAGGGCTACGATGGCTATCCGAGTACAGAACCAGAGTACGAAACCTATCCAATTGCAGAGAGGTGTAAGACAGGGTGACGTCATATCCCCGAAACTCTTCACCGCTGCATTGGAAGACGTTTTCAAGCTTCTGGACTGGAAAGGATACGGTATCAACATCAATGGCGAGTACATCACTCACCTTCGATTTGCCGACGATATAGTCCTTATGGCAGAATCACTGGAGGGCCTAAGCACTATGCTCAATGACCTCAATAGTGTTTCCCAACGGATAGGTCTTAAGATGAACATGGACAAAACAAAGATCATGTTTAATGTCCATGTCACACCTATGCCGGTAGTTGTTGGGAGCACTAAGCTCTAAGTTGTTGACGAGTATGTTTACCTGGGAGAAATAGTCCGACTAGGTAAGTCCAACTTCGACCGAGAGGTCAATCGACGGATTCAACTCGGCTGGGCAGCGTTCGGGAAGCTACGACACATCTTCTCGTCAGACATACCTCAAAACCTTAAAACGAAATTGTACAACCAGTGCGTGTTGCCAGTGATGACTTACGGAACTGAGACGTGGTCCTTCACTGCTGGCCGTATGAGGAAGCTCAAGGTCGCTCAGCGAACTATGGAGAGCGCTATGCTCGGAGTTTCTCTGCGTGATAAACTTAGGAATGAGGATATCCGCAGTAGAACCAGAATAACCGACATAGCCCAACGGATTAGTAAGCATAAGTGGCAGTGGGCCGGCCATATAGCTCGAAGAACCGACTACCGATGGGGAAGAAAGGTTCTCGAGTGGCAGCCTCGTACTGGTAGGCAAAGTGTAGGGCGTCCCCCCCCACGAGATGGAGTGACGACCTGGTAAGACATGCAGGAAGTCGATGGATGCAGGTGGCTCAGGACCGTGCTTTGTGGCATTCTTTGGGGGAGGCCTATGTTCAGCAGTGGACTTGTGAAGGGCTGTAATGATGATGATGATGATTCATTTTGAGAATAAACTAGACTCATGGATAAATTTAGAGTGTAATATTCGTGCGTACTGGCCACAAACCTTAGTAAATACAAACGCTATTAAAAAAAAGCTTGAGAATGTTTTTTCTTTCGAACTTTTGTTTGTATGTAATTATTGCATAATATTGCGAAAAATTTGCCAACTTTTGTCTTTGAATTATTCAGGTTTAGGTTTTGTTTAAATTTTCGCCTTATTTGTCGTATCATGTGTGAATTTGGAATGGCATAATTAAACGCTGACGAGCCAAGCATCGCGATTCCCGACGAACGGCCTTGCAAGTTGCATGCGTTGGGCATCACAGAACTCGCATAGTAGCGGAAATATGGTCGATCATAGTCAGAATAGGTACTTTACCTAAGTAACTTACCATTTCGCAATGTATTTTTTTACTCTTTATTAACAGCCCTTAGTAACCACGAAAAGTCCGTTGTGATGTAGGAAGGAGAAAAGATGCAAAGTAATACGGACACACGCGCGAAGCGGTAAAGTTTCATTTAACTTGCGTGCGTGATTTATATGATTAATAATAATTATGTTGGTTATTAAAATGTCGGCAAACAGTCAACATCAAATGAGTGCAACTTCTGTACGTAGTACTATTATTTATTATGTGCTATAAGGTGAATAGAAACGTTTTTCTCTAGAGTAATGAACGAAACAACGCACATATATACCTACCAATTTTTTGAACAAAGCCAGGGAAATCCCATCTGCAAACATACAGTGTCGTGAAGCGACAATTAAGAACAAAAAGAATCTAACCTAAGAGCAACAAAACAACAAAAATACAACAAAAACAAATAATATATTTAAGATTCAAGAGATATTTACAATTTTATATAACAAAATGGAGTATGAAGATGAGGATGGATGATGTTATTTACAAATTATTTAAAAAAAGTAATAAAAAAAGGAGATTAGTGTCGAAGCTGAGTCTGAAGATCCAAGGTGTGCTCTCAGCGCCTGGAACGAGCACGCACGGCGTAGGTGAGAAGGCGTGGGCGTCTCTAGGCGACGACCTCAGGTGAATGCGGTGATTGCAGGATCCGGCGATTTCAGGCCAGACAGGGGCTTGCAGGATCCTCAGCGACTTCAGACAGCACAGAGGCCTGCAGGATCCGGTGACTGCAGGCGGGACAGAGGTTTGCAGGTTCCGGTGACTTCAGGCGGAACTGAGGTTTGCAGGTTCCGGCGACTCCAGGTAGAGTAGAGACTTGTAGGATCCCGGCGACTTCAGGCAGAGAAACGGTTTGTAGAGTCCAGCGACTTCAGGTAGAGCAGAGGTTCGTAGAGTCCAGTGGCTTCCGGCAGGACAGAGGCTTGCAGGATCCCGGGGCAGTGCGGCCCCGGGATAAGGCCTTTAGGAGATGCTTCCAATTCGAGAACTGAAGCGAGACTGCCTTTCTTCACCGATTGTTCGGCTTTTATACCTTTCTAGAGAGAACGGAAAAATTATTTAAATTAAAAGCAAATTTTTTGTAAATGGTCAAGAGAAAAGAGTATTTATGTGGAATTATCGAAATAGAAACAACAGACCGGTAGCAAATTTGAATATAATTGCTATGGAGACCAAATAAACAACAATGTCAAAACATGTCAAATTTTGGTTTTAGGCTTGTAATAAGAAAACGGCAAGATTTAAGTGGAAAATGAGATATTATTGATATAGGAATAAAGGTAGCGCAACTGCCCACACAAAGCCCGAGATTGTAGAGTTACGGAAAACTAACTAAAAGATCGAAAAAAGGTAGACTCCATTGACACCAATTTAAAAATGCTGATAATGTGAAAATACGAAGTAGAAATGATTTGTTATTGTGTTCTTATGGTTTAAAATCGTTACAGGATCCTATGGAAATAAAGGTGATGTAAAATATCCAGTTTTGAAGTGAATGCAGAAAATCGAAACAGAATTCAAAAATGAATTTAAAATAATGTAAAATGATAAGTAAGTAGCATAACACTACAACAGTTGTAACGCCGTGTCGTGCCATCTCTTTCACCTTGGTTAAAAATGAATGAATAGGTTGCAAATGAGACGATCCATTAACATAAATTATAATTGTTTCACCAGAGTCCAGAACGACCTAGCGCTCATTTGTAATTTGAGTGATCAAAATAATTCCATATTCTGTATTTAATGTTATTAGGTAATAGCTAATAATCGATAGTATGTGTGAATGAGACTCACATATAAACACATATAATAACATATAAAACAGAATTATTGACAACAGTGGGAGAGTGAGGATTTATTCAAAAACTAAATTGTTCATGTGGGTAATGGCCCGTATAGAGCAAAGTCCATAGTGTCCGCCGTTACGGATGAGAAACAAATGAGGAATAGATAACTTTAAGATAAATATTGAAATACGGCAATCTACTAAATTTTCCTTAAAATACGGCAAACGAGATTGTGACATCCGGCAGCTCCAATTTTTACGATAACAACACTGCACCACTGGTTATCAGCAGCATTGCCAACATGTATAGAATTCCCCAAGTTGCGGGGAATTTATACTGGTTGGGGATTTTTTTGGGGCAATTGATTATACGGGAAAAAGGCAGGGATTTTAGAAAATCGATAGCCCGCGCCAAGTCAGAACCTTTTTTCAAGAAATTTTAATACTTATTTTAACATTTTTCTTAGGTTACTTATGAATATCGAATCCCTTTTTCTAATTATCTTCATTGCATCACATTTAATTTTCGAATTTATTTTTGCGACTTTTGTGTATCATTTAATGCTTTTCATTTCTTTATTTTTTAATTTTAAAGCACAGAACCGCATGCATATAAATGAAGATACTGTGGTACTTTTTAATGGCAATTGGGGAAGTAATTTTAAATACTCCATGGAGTAAAATGCTTGTTACAAAAATATGGAAAGTGTGAAAAAAAATTATGGTAAAAAAGAAAAAATGTTAGTTAAAAATAAATCTTATAAAATTAGTTGAAAATGGCTTCATTTCTTAATATAAAATTGAGGGGAATTTGTGGAGAATCTGTTAAAGTTTTGTCCCTAAATTGGGAAATTTGACATGGATTTTTGGGAAATTTGATAAATTGGTGTGGGCAACGCTGGTTGTCAGTTATCAAATAACGTTTTCACCTTATAAGATTAGGTACTTCAGATTACTTAATACTTATTATAGAGTAAATAGTACATATACATAGCAGTGTGACCATATGTGGCAGGTTCCTGCCATTTTGGCAGGATTGGCCTCTTATTTTAGCCTCTGGCATGATCGGTTGACGTTTTATAAAACCTGGCAGTATTTGGCAGTATTGGGGTATTAAAATGGAGTTTGTTATGGCAACTTAAAATGACGAAAATGGTAACCCTAGATACTTCGCCAGCATGTTGGGGATTTCCCTGTATTTCTCGATGTCTCATATTATGTTTGTATCACATTCAATAAACAACTTTAAAAAAATGTGTATAAAGTTGATAATCTTAAAAGGAATTAACACGAGTTGGTTAATATTTCAATCAGTTATAAAAGAGACGTACTTTAGTTTGGTATCGCATTAGATTTCATGGTGATAACATCTTGTTAATAATATTTCGTGGACGATAGTAATTATAGGTGACGGTAATGAAACGAAAATATGAAAGGGCGTATAGAGCAAAGTGGGAGCAAGATCTTTTACTTTCATCATGGATCTCCAAAGCTAAAGATGACCTAGACTTTACTAAAAATAGAAAAAAATAGAAAGAATATTCTCTCAAATAAATTAAATTAAGAAAAAAGCACGAAACACAATTATAAACAAACATTTACCGTCTATCTTGTACGTTAAACAAGGCATTGGTGAGCATGGCGATTGCATTGCATTCAAACCAACGAATGATATGTTTAATTTTAATTAAAAAAATATAGCATTTATATGTGTATTTTTACTTTTCTTAGTTTAATACAATGGTAAATAAAGTTGGCAGTATTTAGGCATTTTTCACTATAGACTTTGGCAGGATTTGGCAGGTTTTTAACCAAAGTGAGGCAGGATCTGTATTTTAAAGATGGTCACCCTGATACATAGTGTGCTAGTGTGTTTATTACTTGTCAAATTCAGAATTCAGATGCAGAATAATTATTTATTTTTCACAGAGTACATTGTATATACACGAAATTATTTTTAGAGAAGTTACATTATCGTGAACTCTTGGTGTTTAATGGCTTGAGTATTCAATTATTATTTATGTGCAGGTTGTGTTCGTAAAGTAAGTCTAAACTTTTAACAATGAGCGACGTTGAAAGACTTTTGAAGCAGGCTGCTATGCAAATCGGTGCTGGTGGAAGCGCAGGCTTCGTTGAAGTCTGTATTATGCATCCTTTAGATCTAGTGAAAACTAGGTTTCAGTTGCAAGCCACAAATTCGTCTTTAAAAAGTGCTGATCCACACTACTACAATGGTATAGTAGACTGTATGAAAAAAATGTACAAATATGAAGGATTAACGTCATTCTGGAAAGGAATATTGCCTCCAATTTTAGCAGAGACACCTAAACGTGCTGTGAAGTTTTTAACTTTTGAGCAATACAAAAGGTTTTTCATGTTTGGTTCCAGCACACCCACACCATTAGTGAGATTTTTTTTTAAATTATGTATTTACATAGTGTATTTACTTTATTTTTAATTGATTTTTATGGACTATTTTATAGTAAATATGATTAATTTATAATCTAATTATTTTAACCCCTTAAATTTATACTTGAATGTTATTTTTTTTTAATTTCTTTTATTGGTATGTTTTTCATGAAAGTAATCCTCAAAATGCTATGTAAAACTTAATAATTATAAACAAATCAATACATTTTTGAGCTTGTTCTATTTTATTATTTAATGGCTAATAAAATTAGTTATTAATTAATTACTATAATGATTTCAGACATTTTCCTTAGCTGGTCTTGGAGCAGGTATAACAGAAGCCATTCTAGTTAACCCTTTTGAAGTAGTTAAGGTCACTTTGCAATCCAATAAGGCGTTTGTTACACAAGTGCCAAGTACATGGTCTGTGACTAGACAGATTGTCAGAGAAAATGGTCTGGGCTCAAAGGGCCTGAACAAAGGATTAACTGCAACCATGGCAAGAAATGGTATCTTTAACATGGTTTACTTTGGATTCTACCATAGTGTCAAAGGATATGTTCCTGAATATGAGGTAAATATAAAATATAACTTTGTACACATATACATTTTATTTTGAATTTTGACAATATTAACATTTGACAAACATTACAAATTTTGAACACTGCACACAGTGTTCAAAATTTCATTGCAATCAGTTTAGTAGTTTAGGAGTACATTGTGGACAAACGATGTGACACGTAATTTTTATATATAAAGATTTTATATTGTATCAATTCATTTTGGGAGAAAAATAAATAATTCCCATTTACGTTCAATAGATACACTTGATACCAAATTTAGTGTATGTTATATGAATATAATTTAGTCAAAAGACTAGTTTTAAAAGGTGTTTGCAAAAAAGTTTACAAATGTTCATTATTTTTAACAACTAAAACATCAATTACCCTGTAGCGGCATAGTTCATTTTGTTTGGTTGATTCAGTAACAGGAGTAATGGAGAAAATAGTACAGTGGCGCAGCGAACGAACAATGTTATTTTGGAACTTTTTCACCGTGATGTTATTTATCATTCATGTCTAGAGGCGACAGAGGGAAATAAATCAGGAGATGAGCAGCAGCGTCTTCCTAATAACGACTAAAAATAAAAACTGTGGTTGCCAACCCGCTTGCCATGCGTGGCAACTATGGCAAATATACCCTCTATGAGGCATATAGTGGAGGCCTATGTTCAGCAGGGGTTTTTATAGGCTTTAACGGTGTTTGTTGTAATAGTGATAAGAAAAAAACTGTGGGAGGAAAAACAGACAAACATTTTTATTAAATTTAATCTCGGTGGAACGCGGATGCTTCTTGCGATGTTTAGGGCAGCTTTGCAAATGTGAGTGATATTTGTGGCAGTAAAATTTTGTGCTCCCCTTTATTTCCATGGCCCATGGCCAGCAGTAGAAGGAACCTGTAAGGACAGGGAAGGGGTAGTTTTAAAAAATATGTATGTGTGTAAAAGAAGTCATCAAACATCACCATAAAACAATTTATTAAACAAAAATAGCATAAACAAGTTCAATGGTTAAAACAGTAATAAATAACAAAATCAAACAAGTTTACTGAAAAGATAAAATTCAAATATTATATGCCACTTCTACAACTAAGGCAAATCTGACGAATTCTCATATGTTAAAATTCTATATCTATAGGTCAAAATCAAATAACTATGAAGAAAGAAAAAAGGACATAGGAACACTCGATTTTCATAAGAAATTAAAGCGATATACTCAGCAGAAACCTCTAAAAAATAAAAAATAAATTAAAATCATAGGCATACACTTTATTACGCTATCTTTGAACGCCATTTTTCTACCAACTTCAAAAAAGAGATGGTATTCAATTAGACTGTATGTTTTTTAATGTGTGTTACCTCCTAACTTCTTTCTGGGTGAACCGATTTCGATGATTCTTTTTTTATTTGAAAGCTGGTGCTTCATATGTGGTCCCGTGTAATTTTGATCAAGGTTTGGTTAATAGTTTTTGAGTTATATTGGACTGTGGAATATGAAATTTTTTTTACATGAATTATAGTGATAACACACTTTATATATAATTTTCAGTTAATTCTTACTATTAAATATAAAGTGATATGTAAACGACACAGTATTTAAAATGGAAATTTTATAAAGTGTATAAAATTGTTACAATGCATAATATAAGCAAATAACTTTTAAAAGCAGTGTAATTAAAAATACTTACCTTTTATATAAAAAAACTAACAATAAACTTTCTTTTGTACCCACTTAATTTTTTGTAAATTTATATTTGCCTCTTACACTCACGCGGCGAAGGAAATAGACTAAAGTATGTGAAGTAAACGCGGCGCGTAGGTAAAAGCGGAACCTCGTCATTTGAAGTAAAATCTCTTAATTTAGAGAAGCGTTATTTAGTAACGAAACTAATTCTAATAAAATTTTAGTTGTATAATTGTTATAAATAACATTTAAAAAAGTATTGTTCTGAGCACTATTAACTATGGTTCTGACCAAATGTAGTGATTATATACTCTTTGGTTCTGAGGGGTCCTTTCTAAAAATTAACTTACTCTTTGTAGCTTTCTACAAAGGTGACCTTGTAGAGTTTTGGCGGGAACTTGACCGGCGGCGGTTTGCTGCTCCTGTTTTATTGTTTAAATAATGGTTTGAAGTGGACTTTGATATTTAAAAGTGGTGCGATTTGGTGTATTTAGTGTCTGCGCATGTGAACTATTAGTGGAAACTGTGAAACAAGTGATCTGATAGTGATATGATTCTCGCAACATATTGTGAAGCAGTATACTATGAAGAATAATTATTATAATATAATATTGTAACTTCAGGCTCAGAAGGGCTAGTTCCCAGAGCCATAAAGCCAGTTATTAAGAAGACGAAGAAGGTGACCTTGGACTATATCATGTATAAGTCAAACACAGATTAATTTAATATGCATGTTTGCGTAAACATAAAAAATTATCACCTCTGTTTTATTTTTTAAATTCATTTCTACTTAATAGTTAGATAAAAATATGTGTATCAGATATTTATCCTTCGGTTTACATTTAGATTTAGTAACTTTTACCTTTAATAAGCTACTATCAGCAATAATATATAAAATATGTGATTTTAAATACTTGCTATCAGTTGTTGACTCTTTCCAAAGATTAAACTTGTTACATGTATTAGTTAAATAAAATATTAAATATTCTCTTATATTGATTAATCAATTTATTATTATTAAGTATATGTGTATAGTTATTTTGCAATATAATGCCCAAATTTGCAGAGAAGGTTCAGAATAAGTAGTATAGGCGAATTCTGTCCTTTTTATCTTTTAAATTCAGAACGCACGGAAATGCATTTTATACGTGGTAGAGCCATGCTGCAGCTATATTAGTAGTATAGTTCTAGCACGAATGGGTCGGCTCGACCAGGGAGGGACCACGCTCTCACAGAATACCAGCGTAAAATAGCAGCTTAACGCTGCTGTTTCGTATGATGAGTGTAGAGAACCGGAGACCCTTTTTACTGGAAAAGAGGCATTCCATCTTAGTCCTCACGGGTCACAACGCATCTGCATCTTGAGTCTTTATTGAGGATAGATGTAGATGTCTATGAGTTACAGTAACCACTTACCATCAGGTGGAATGTGTGCTCGTCTGTCACCCGTTTCCTATAAAAAAAAAAAACAAAAGAAAATAATGTTTAAAAGTTTTAAACCAGTTTTAAGTACTCAAGCTAATACTGGATTTTTAGGAATGTTAGTGTGTATTGAAAGTCTCAAACAGATAGCTAATCTTGTGATCTGGCGTTATCATGATGAAAGACCACTCCTTATCTGATTATCAATGCCGGCCGTTTTCTTTTTCTATTTCTTGCTTGTCGCATTATTTGTTGGTGGTCGAGATCCGAATCGATGGTTTTACCCGGCGGTAAAAGCTCGTGATAAACGATACCCATTTACACAGAATCATTTTATTGCGTGTTAATCCACGTTGAAGCGTCAGTAGCCTAATGGCAGGGCGTGGACCGCGAACACGAAAGTTTGTGGGTTCGTATCCGTCATTCGACTACTGTCGTGAATCACTTCTAACACAAGCATTTTAAGCTTACCAGAAGTGGGTAAAGGGAATATTAGTAATGTTTAATAGCATTACTAGTATTTTTTTTTAAATATCCAGGTTTCGCTACGGTCTGTAAACAAAACACATATCAAGACAGAAATAAATCACGTTTGTTGTATGGCCTTCATACAAGAAACGTGATTTTTTAAGGTCCTTTAATATTTTATTTTATGTTGTTATAGCAGCAATATAAATACACATTCTGTGAAAATTTCAAGTATCTACATATTACGGTTAATAAGATACAGCCTGCTGACAGACAGATGGATAGTGGAGACTTGGGTCACGTTGATACTCTTTGGGTACGGAACCCTAATAAACGGAAATTAGGTCATTTGAGCAATACTACAGAAATAAACATTAAATAATGTAGAATTAGGTTATATCATAATAAGTTAAATATATTATAAAGTATAGTAATAATAAATTCACATATAAAAATCTCAGTCACGGGGACTTTATTTTTGTATACGCGGCAAGACTGAATGGCGTCATTCATATTTTTTACTTATTTATGGCTCGTGTTATTTTATGTTGAAATTTCGAAGTTTTATGATACTTACTGATAGTATGTGATCCCAGTGTCTTTCTTATTGCTTGTAGTATTATTTTTACACAGTTTCACTACGTAAACTGGTATTTCCACCTCACACGTTGCTTGCAACGCGACTGGCACGGGTACGCCGATTCCGGCGTAGTATTTGTTGCCGCATTTTACAAGAGCGCCGGCGGTATCTAGTCAGAGCGCGCGATGACTTATCATAATCTAATGGCTCCAGTACACGTTGGCCGAGCGCGCTTGGCGAGTGCACTCGGCAGATTTTCGTGGTGCCGTTCACACGTTGGCGTGTTTCATTCTGCGTTGGTAGCTAGATGATGATGGACGTTAGGGCAATCGCGGCCGCTGTCATATACTTATACAGCGCTTCACACTTCTCAGAGTAAACGAAAAAAAACTACACATACAACAATAATCCCAGTTTGTCCTTTTTAGGGTTCCGACCTCAAAAGGAAAAAGAAACCTTTATAGAATGTACTAGCTGACCCGTGCCCGCTTCGCTGGGGGTTTTTTCAAAATAAATGATAGCCCAAAAGAAGTCCCTAAGCTACATTATCCCTGAGCAACATAAACACAGAGATAATCTATACATATAATAAAATTGTAAATAGCAGATGTCTGTACATTTTATATTTTTGTAATAAAAGTGATTGAGGGGTACTAAAAATAAGTAATTAAATACATTTCTACCATTTTTTGAATTTTCTGTCTGTCTGTCTGTCTGTCTGTCTGTCTGTTTGTTTGTTAACGTATCACGTATAAAGTACTAATTTATATCATAAGAATTGTTAAGGAAATTATAAAGTGTATCTTCGGGTTACATTTAGTCTTTATTTCATTAAAATCAGTTCATTCCATCAAAAGTTAT